GAGCACATGAGGCAGATTTGGACAGCGGCATTTTCAGTCTGGGGGGAAGAGGAGAGTTAGATGTACTGGCAGATTTACATACGTTAAGATCAAGGCTTTACATAAATAAAAGCTGATCAATGTAAACACCCCTGACAGTGTTAAATGGTTTGTCTCAACCATCTAACTGGTACATCTGCAGGATGGCTCCTTTTTTTTGAAAAACAACAGACATACTAGCTGAATCACCAAATGAAAATAAAAGAAAGAAAGCTTAAAAAGAAAACTAATGCAGCCTCTACATCTAGGAATTGGTGAGGTGCAATGTAATAAATGTTTGCCTTTGTGTTTAATGCCACTTTACACAAGTTTCTTTTGTGCTTAGAACTAGTGCATTACATTAGGCATGATTTTCCCTGAACGAAAACCACATTCACAATTTTGACTTTTGTTCATTCAAGAAATATCTTCCTTCCCGCTCCTTCGAATTTTGATCACTATGGTTGAAAATGACTATATTTGATCCCACTAACCATTAGAAAATCAAGCAAATGATCCAAAAATAAAATTTTTTGAACAACATTCTACTAGTATATGACCAACTTAAGTGGATAACAAGCTAGGTATGTGAGTAAGAAACCCACAAAAAGAAGTCCCAACAGAGAACCAAGCTGTGGCTTGAAAAATATTTTATTGAAAAATATCAAAATATAAATGATAGCAAATATACTTCCACACTACACAGTTATAAACTACATAACGTTGTCATGTGCCATAAAAACACCCACCTGGGTGCACAGACATACCAACCACACACACCAGAACATGCAATAACATAGGGATAGGACCATAGAGGCCAAAAACTATATGATTATGACCAGTTATTCTAGATCGATAGATCAATAATGTCATCTATGACAGTAGTGTAGTAACAGTATGTAAAGGTGCTGGCCCCTTAAAAACTTGTACCAGAGGTATGGCCAGAATGGGCATAAATAGATATTGATATTAATGACAATCCATCAGTCATGAAGGGGTATCTTCAATCAATGCTGGAAATTCAAACCTATGATAAATTGCCCCTGCATGCAGTCAAACCATGCTTGCATAGGTGATGAACATAACAATGGTTCCAATGGAGATAGCAACAAGAAATGTCACAGTTTGCAAGTACAGCAAATAGGATCAACCTTGGACAGCAGGCTGGATTTCAATAACAAATGTGTAGATATTGGTTATAGGTAGCCACAACCATTCACTGCATACAGGCAGAAGAAAGGTACCAGGTGTTTAAGGCTTCACAGAGCAATCATAGTCCAGGGACCAACCCCTGATATAATCGCAGACTGCCTGATGTTATTGGCTCACCACTCCAGATACGATTACCCACATCAGTCAATCTTGACCCTCTGTATAGTGCTGCTATAGTCAGACTCCATGTAGCAATTAATTGCATGTGACTGCAAGGTGTGTGTTGGAAAAGCAGCATGGTGGTGCCTGGAGTACGGGCATCATGATGCTGTCACGTCAACGCATTTCGCCCACTGAGTTTCTTCAGGATGCCACGGCCATAATGTCAGGGGCTTATATAGAGACCAACACGTCACTTCCAGATTTGCCCACAAACAGCAGCAGCCTTATTGTCACTTGAAACATCGCATGCTGCTATAATACCCATTACACCTAACCAGTAAGTGGACCAGTTTTAATTATATACAGTTACACAACCCACACTATATCAGGCATTCCCTAATTTCCATGTTATACCAGTGAACCATATTGCCATAAAAGATGGCCAATATTGGGTATTGCCCATACATATTGGGGATCAATAAATTAAATGGTCAGTCATTAAATCAAAGTGGTTCTTCAATGGCAGGGTAAAGAAACCATAAAGATTAGGGTTCCAGAAGAACCTATAGGCTCAATTCAGCATTGAGTCCCTTGGGTGCCAGGGACCCAAGTCTGAATATCCACTCCTTCTCCTTCCACAGTGGGATCGTATCAAAATCACCCCCGCGGTTAGAGAGGTTCAATGCATAGATTGCCTTGACCCTAAGTCCCTTGGGTGATGAATTGTGAAACATGGCAAAATTTTCTGCAACTGGGGTCTTATAATGTTTGTTGCTGATACCCTATGCGTACCCGTAGCTGACGCTTGGTCTTGCCAATATAGATTTTATTGCAAGGACATTCAAGCATAATACTCATGTCGTTGCACAGTTCATAAGGAAAGGAGGGACAAACAGAACAGCTTCAAACCACTCTACAGTCAGTGTATTGGAGACTGGAAAGTCCAGTGTTTGGTTCTGTACTCCTGGGGCTTGGTAATAATGAAAATAGTAAATTAAACAGATAAGTTCACAAGGTGGAATATACCTCTTTGGCATTAACCCCTTTGAGCCAGCACATTTTTAATAGTGATGTGGTTCCTGGAGTTCAGCTTTTAACATAGGGTTACTGTAGGCTTTTATGGATGCTGGACAGGAATATTTTGGGGTGCTTTTCCTTTTAGTAGCAGACTTATCCCAGCTTCTTGATTCAGACTACTCTGCTGTGGCAGAAGGCCTTGCTAGGTTAGGGACAGTTAGGGAACACAGTGGTGTTCCCTGCTTGCTGACTGGACAACGAAGAACAGCAGCAGGCCGGGGAGGTCATCTCTCTGATCACTCTACTCTCTCCTCTCAGCGTGTTTCTTGTCACTGCATTTGCATGCAGCAATTTGTTTTGGTTGCTTGCTTAGGTGATTGCAAGAGGATTTGACTGATTCAGGTACTTACACTAGCAGCAATTACATTTAAAATCGTGCACAAGCCTGCATTAATTTGGGACTTATATCTGCCTGATGTTTTGATTTAGACCTTGAGATGTATATAGGGAGCACAGTTTACCTTGTCAGTCCTTCAGTTCTCCATCCTACTGTGCACCAATGCACAGCACCCCCTTGTTGTTGGTAATCCAGTGATCAGATACAGTTGCAAGAAAAAGTATGTGAACCCCTTGGGATTACGTGGAGTTTTGCATGAATTGGGCATAACATGTGCTCTGAACGTCATCTAAGTCACAACAATAGAAGAACACAGTCTGCTGAACATAATACTACACAAACATTAGATGTTGCCATGGTTTAATTGCACATAACATGTAAACATTCACAGTGCAGGGAGGAAAAAGTATGTGAACTTTTGGACTTAAAAACTGGTTGACCCTCCTTTGGCAGCAATAACCTCAACCAAACATTTCCTGTAGTTGCAGATCAGACCTGCACAACGATCTGGAGTAATTTTGGACCACTCCTCTTCACAAAACTGTTTCAGTGTAGCAATATTCTTGGGATATCTGGTGTGAATCGCTCTCTTAAGGTCATGCCACAGCATTTCAATCGGGTTGAGGTCAGGACTCTGACTGGGCCACTCCAGAAGGCGTATTTTGTGCTGTTGCAGCCATTGTTTTTTGTTGAATTACTTGTATGCTTTGGGTCATTGTCCTGTTGCATCACCCATCCTCTGCGGAACTTCAGTTGACGGACAGATGGTCATACGTTTTCGTGCAAAATGTCTTGATAAACTCTGGAATTCATTTTCCCATCAATGACAACAATCCGTGCAGGCCCTGAGGCAGCAAAGCAGCCCAAAACCATGATGCTCCCTCCGCCATGTTTTACAGTGGGGATGAGGTTTTGATGTTGGTGTGCTGTGCCTTTTTTTCTCCACACAAAGTGTTGTGTGTTCTTCCCAAACAACTCAATCTTGGTTTCATCTGTCCACAGTATATTTTGCCAGTAGTGCTGTAGAACATCCAGGTGCTCTTTTGCAAACTTCAAACGTGCTGCAATATTCTTTTTGGACAGCAATGGCTTCCTCCATGGTGTCCTCCCATGTACTCCATTCTTGTTTAATGTTTTCCTTATTGTAGATGTGTCAACAAAAATGTTAGCATGTGCCAGAGATTTCTGTAGGTCTTTAGCTGACACTCTGGGATTCTTCTTTACCTCATGCAGCATTCTGTGCTGTGCTCTTGCAGTCATTTTTACAGGACGACCACGCCTAGGGAGAGTAGCAACAGTGCTAAACTTTCTCCATTTGTAGACAGTCTGTCTTACCGTGGACACATGAACATCAAGGCTTTTGGAGATACTTTTGTAACCCTTTCCAGCTTCATGCAAGTCAACAATTCTTGATCGTAGGTCTTCTGAGAGCTCTTTTCTGCGAGGCATGGTTCACATCAGACAGTGCTTCTTGAAACCAGTAAACCCAAAACAGGTGTGTGTTTTTTAAGGTCAGGACAGCTGTCAGCAACACATCCAATATCATCACACTGATTGGAGTCAAGGTTGGCTCACTCCTGGCTCTAATTAGCTCTGGGAGAAGTCATTAAGCTAGGGCCTCACATACTTTTTCCTCCCTGCACTGTGAATGTTTACATGTTATGTGCAATTATACCATGGCAACATCTAATGTTTGTGTAGTATTATGTTCAGCAGACTGTGTTCTTCTATTGTTGTGACTTAGATGACGTTCAGAGCACATTTTATGCCCAATTCATGCAAAACTCCACGTAATCCCAAGGGGTTCACATACTTTTTCTTGCAACTGTATCTCTGTCCTGTGATGCAGGTGAGGAAGTGAACTTCAAGTGACTCTGAGCTGTTTCTTGGACTGTGGCCTCATTATATTATAAATAATTCACATTAAGGCAAACTGAATAAACATTTTAATTTTTGCACAGCTGTAGTGTTTGCTGGTTAGTATTAGTAGCTCACTAACTGCTTTCACTTATTGCCTGGAATGGCACTTTATAGCTAATGGAGTTCCTGTAAAGCTATATTTAGTAGGTATGGATAATAGAAATTGTAACAACATCAACAGCTGGCCTGAGAAAAGTGTCCTTTACTAAGTAGAGCATTAATTTTCTAATTACCCATGTGACTATTGCTATACAATAATATGGAAATGCTATTTATCAGATAATGCAGTGCACTCAATTAATCTTTATGATATAAAATATATATATTTTTTCAGCATATCTCCAGGAAACATATGGACACCTCTTTGGAAGGAACTCTCCAGTCATGCTGCTAACCCTGATGTCATGATCCTTGGAGGGAAAGATGCCCAGGTGAGGGGGTAACCATTTAAAATGTGCAGCCTCAAGTCCAAATAGCTTTGCAGGCACAGGGACCCAGCAGGCTTTGTTCCTCTGCTTGAGATAACACTGTCCTCACTTTGATCCATACTGCCACTATGACCTCTAGATGTCTGCTTATTCTTCTCTCAACAGATGCAGAAATAACCATTTCATAGGGCCAATTGGCAATTTAATTGGGGCGACCCTGGAACATATCGGGTTGGGGGCTTCCATGCTCCGCTAGATTTTCCTCTCTCTATTCTTGCCCTTCAACAGCTGTGAAAGTCAATGAGACTTTGATTTGAGATCTGACTTCTTTCCTATCTCCAACGGGATGAGGCAGGAGTGCCCCCTCTCTCCCCTTATCTTCATTCTAACCCTGGAACCCTTTCTTTGCTTGGTTCATGCTGACCCTAATATCGCTAGATACCACAAACCTTCAGGTATCCACGAGGCTGCGGCTTTCGTCAACAATCTGATGTTCTTTGTCACGGATCCACTCACCTACCTACCTAATCTATTAGGGGCTCTCTGAGTATATGGCATTTTGTCATATTTTAAAATCAATTTAGTAAAGTCTTCCGTCCTGAATATTTCTGCTGATTTCAGCATTGTTCGCAATCTTCAGCCCTTCTTCACTTTTCGACGGGTCACTGATGCGATTAGGTACCTAGGCACAAACATTACACTGGACCCCTGCAAGTTATACGCTGCAAATTTTAAGCCGCTTTTTCTCAAGCTCAAAGAGGACTTGATGCAGTGGCACTTTAACATTAACGTGGTTCTGTAGGTGCAGCGCCCTAAAAATGACGGTGCTTACCGAGTCCTCTACTTGCTGCAAGCCCTTCCCATTCGACTTCCTGCTCTCTTTTTCAGGAAAGTTTGCTCTTTGTTTTGGAGCCTTGTTTGATCCTACAAAAACCTGTGCCTTGCATTACAGAGACATCCGTGTTTACTATCAGCTACACATCTTAGTAGGTTGGTCGATTACCATGGTGCGGCGAAGCCATGGAGTTGGAGGACTCCCAAGGTACGGCCATGAGTTGGCTCTGGATTACCTCTCCTCTGCCTAAAGTACTCTGTGTTCAGCCTTCTGCAGCTCCTCAGTCTCTTCAGTCCCCTCACCCCTGGTTCCCATTCTTGGCATCCCTGATTTTCCCCAGGACTCCATAATGTAAAGTTCCACCACCTGAAATCTAATGGCTATACCCACTTGATAGATTTTCTAACTTCGGATAGTGCATTAGTCTCTATTGACCTTACCAGCCTAGCAGACTCTCCATTGGACCTCTGGGGTGGTTTCCAGTTGTTGCACTTTCTACAAAAGTGGTCTCTTGCTCTAGACATTATTTATCTGCTCACAGGGTTTGAGACCTTGTGCCATAGATGGGAACCAGTTCGACATTGCATCTGTTTGATATATGTCTCCTTAGTTCACCTGGTGGTGGGCTTTATTCCATCCTTTCTCTCGCAAAGGAAATCTGACTTGGTATGCATTGCAGCTAAACAAAGAGAAAATTCTTAATTGTTCCCCAAATTCCTCTTTTTTTACCAAGATACAAGAGACCAGCTACAAAATCCTCACAAGATAATACAGGGCTCCCACCATGCTCCACAGTATCTCCGCCTAGGTCAGCAACTTGTGTTGGCGATGTGATTCAGGGGGAGGTTCCATGCTGCATTTTTTCTGGCAGTGCCTGAAAATTCCGCCAATTTGGTGAAATGTGACCGGTATCATTAAACAACTCACTGCTGTTCACTTACATGACAATCTGGTGGCTTGCATCTGACAGAGAGACCTGTCAAAAAATATAAGGCCTCTCTCACCATACAACTCTTGAATGCAGCGAAGGCCTGTATCCTGCTCTGTTGGAAACATTTTGATCCTACAAAATCTCTCTGGTTCTCTAAAGTGAATGAACTTAGGGACATGGAAAACCTCACAGCCACTCTGCGCAACACAGAGGAGACATTCAATGAAACTTGGAGACCCTGGCAGTTTTATGTCTATACTGATGCCTACTTCAATGAGCTTGCCCTTTCTGCATGACTTTTCTACTCCCCTAACTTCCTCCTCAGGAGAAGGTGACCTCTTTTCTTACCTCCTCCCCTTTTATCATCCTTTACTTCCCCAAGCTGTTTCTCTCCTTTGATTCTCCCCTTTTCTTTCTTTTTTCCTTACCCCTCACCCCCTTCCCCAGGCCCCTCCTTTGTTTATCATTTCCTCCTAACACTACTGGCCCATGCACTTCCCCGTCTTAGTTTTCTTTGGCATTGCTCCATTTTGTTTTCTGGAATAATTGGATGATGGTGTTACAACTTGCCATAGAGTATGCTACTTTTTGTTAAAACATCCTCAGCTGGGTTTAATAACTTATAATACCATTCACATAACTTTACATTGGCAGGACCCAGAAAGTTATCATGGTACATGTAAGGGACAAAAGTGCATTTTGACCGAACTGTATTGTGAGGTTAAAAAAGGAAGGCGAGAGTACATCCAGTGGTGGTTTTATGCATGCAGCACAATTGAATTTGAACCTGAGAATGGAAGGTGGTATATATTTAAAAACAAAGGACATTTATTAACAATTGTGGAGGACTTATTTTTTGTTTATTTTTTTTGGTTATTGATATATGGGACTGATATAAGATATAGTACTATTTGATGCTAGTGCAGCACTACTTCAGCCTTTTTTGTATTTATTTGCCAATCAGTATGGGAATGGTATTTAGTGTCTAGCAGCTGGCGGTGGGCTGTAGTAATACTTTAGATGTTCTACAGTCATGGCCAAAAATATTGTCACCCTTGCATTTTTAGAAAAGGTGCAAATACCAAGTGCAATGAGGGTCCAGGGGATATGTAGATAACCACAGCATGGCCAGCTCCAACAAGTCATCTGACCAGAACTGAGAAATGAGCACAAAACAACATATAAAAGGAGCCTTCCCAACCCTGTGGAAGTCAATAGAGTCACAAGCCCAGGAATAGTTAAATTTGAAATTCACTTTAATGTTGGGTTAAAAAAAGCATGACATCTAGGAGTGGCCAGATTGATATGTCACCAATCAAGTGGAGAGGAGAAACACATATTCCCAGAAGCTGGAGGATGGCACATGATCCTGGACCCAACAGTAGGTTGCTCAGCCCAGGAGCCACAGGACAGTGGGAAGGGTGTGTAGATGGCAGCTGCTGAGATCACGGAGATAGCGCATCCGCCGGAAGTCAAGTGTCCCAGATCCGGTTATGTCATACACCTGGCGAGAGACCGCTCAAACAAGGGCTGGTGAAGGCAAACTGGAAGCCTAGGGGAACATTCAAATCATATACCAAACCAAAAGGAGAGAAGCCGGTCATCATAACATGTTTTCGAGACTTGCCCCTTCCTCAGATCATGTCAGACCCCTGCATTTCTGTCAGATAATGCACCACTTCACCAAGAAAATTACAAATGTTTAGGCATTCACATGTTTATTTCTTTTGTTTGTATTGGTATGACACAAAAAAGTGGAGAAACAAAAAGTGACACATTCCACGCAAAACCCCAAAAATGGACTGGACAAAATGATTGTTTTTTTTTTTTTGTTCAGCCCACTGTGTACCCCACATATATTGCACATCTACTGAAATCCTAGATATCAGTGCCTGGAAAGGTTTAATGAACAAAGTTCTCCCTCTTTATAGAGTAACATATGAGGTTAGAGGATGTCCTGCTAAATTCAGCCAAATCTGGAGTGACTGGGTTGCTTGTCCCAATCCTTGTGAACACCAGAACTCTGTATGATACTGTCTTCTATGTTGATCAGACCTCAATCTCCATGGCTAAAGTCATTAAACATGTGACCTTACCACCCCGTCCCAAAAATGACTCTCACACTGTAGAGACATAAAACAAAGAACTTTGTTAGAAATCCTTAATATATGAACAAAGCTTGTTGGTGCACAGAACTGTAGTTCACTGTCTGTTTCGGGTTTTAACATGTACCTTATTATTAAAAAGAAAAAAAAAAAAAAACTGGTATACTTTATGTAGCGATAAAGCTGTTACATTTTTCTGCCTACTTATCCCAGTCTTCTGAAAGTTTCAATATCTGATAACATGCACAATACCTGTGCACCTTGATTTAACTTACACTAATCTGTGTTTGTACCTCAATATTTGTTTTCCACTCCCAAATAATTTTTTTCTTTCAGTTACTTGGACGTATGGGCACAGCTGAAGAGTGTGCCAAAGCTGTGCTTTACCTGGCAGCTGAAGCCACATTCTGCACAGGCATTGATCTTCTCCTTACTGGTGGAGCTGAACTGAATTATGCCAGTAAGAATCAACAGAAGACTCAAAACAGCATTTACAACTGACTGTCCATGGAACATAGGACGACTGATGTATGAAACCTGATGGCCAGGAAAATAGACAGAGACCCATAGCATCCAATCATATTCTAGCTGTAAATTTTTTGGTTACAAATGAAAGCAAACATGTAGCTGCTTGTATTGACATTGTTACAATATTTCTCTCCCTCCCGGATTTTAGGAGTGTTTCACTGAATATAACACAAGTTGGCGTCCACTGGCATCCGTGTGTGTGCCTCCAATCTAATGCCAGTTTGTGTCAGTTAGGATGTAGACAATCGCAAGTATGAATGGTATAATCAAATTTACTGGACGTTTCTGGTTCTGTCAATAGAATCACATCAAGAGAAGATATTAGTGACTCTAAGTTGGTTTCAGGTCACTGACTCTGGTTGATTATGTAGTGAAGGCAAAGGACAGGCGCTGTACTACGATACTAATGAGGGAGCACAAATTCCATATGTTTGCTATTTTTTTTGTTTTGCAAAATTATACATGAAAAAAAAGTTTTATTAAACACTGGCACCCCTTGATAATTGCTTGAAGCTTGTGGCATTCACAACCACATCTAAAAGGGATACTGTTACTTTTTAGCATTGTAATTATAAACAATTTCAACATAGAAAAAAATTAACAAAATTTGTTATAAAATATTGCGTTTTATTTACTTTTTTTTATAAAATGACCAGTATATCCATTGTGTATGCCATGGGTCAGGTATCCTCCTTCATACCAGAATGCAAACTTTAGTATCTGTAGACTTGTTCCAAGTCATTGGCTTGGCATTGACAGATTACCGTAAGTAGTGAAGGAAGGATCAAAATGACAACCATGGAGCCTGAAACTGTTAGAAAAAAAAGTCAGCATTTTAGCTTCAGTGTTCCACTCCTAACAGGTTCATTTGAAGACAGTAATGCAAAGCAGGTAACATATTTTGTTTTACACCAGCCCCAGAATGAAACTGTGTTCCAGTGGAAAAAAAATAGGTAAGGCCCCTTTCACACGGGGTGGACTCCATTATGATTAGCAGGGGATTTGTCCGCTGATCCCTTGTTGATCGGAGCAGAATGAGCGGATGACAGGTCTGTGTCCACTCAGTTAATGCAGAGTAGACACAGATAGAGCCCACTCTGCTCTATGGGCAGTCGGGTGCAAAGTATTTATGATAAATGAGACTAATTTTTAGAGAGTGATGTTTTAAAGTGACTTGTTCCGGGCTATTATCTTGACCCTGGCTTTCACTACCTGTAGCAAGCATGGAGAATGGAAGTTCAGAGTTTACCAACTTAAAAGGTCTGTATATGTCAAAGTAATATCTTAGATATTCAGTCATGGCCAAAAATATTGGCACCCCCGCATTTCTGTCAGATAATTGCTTGTTTCTCACTTTTTTGTGTCACACCAATGTAAACAAAAGTAAACATGAGAATGCCAAAACATTTGAAATTGTAACAATTTTCTGGGTGAAGTGGTGTATTATCTGACAGAAATACAGGGGTGCCAATATTTTTGGCCATGACTGTAGGTGAAGACTTTGGCCTCTTATAAGTCTTAAAGTGGTTGTAAAAGCTGAAGGTTTTTTAACTTCATACATTCAATGCATAAAGGTAACAAATCATCACTATGCAGCTCTCCCCTTACCTGACCTGAGCCCAATCCTGACCCAGCGATGTGGATGAAAGTATCTGCTCCCCTGGCTCTCAGACTCCTCATTGGCTCAGAGACAGCAGCGGGAGCCATTGACTCCTGCTGCTGTTAATCACAGCAAGTGAAGAGGGAGTGGGGGCAGGGCAAAACAGATAGGAAATCCAAATAGGAAGATTGAGAGACCTTGATAATGGTCACCACAGTTGTGCAGACACAGAAACTCAGAGATCTCACCAATATATTCCCTATGGGACGTAAGAAATTGTCAAGTGGGTTCATTAAAAAGCATTCAAAATAGAAGTCTTGAATGATCCCTTTAAATGGCTTATGCTAGTTCCAGGTCAGTGACTCAATAGATACTGGGTCAAGGATGAAGTTCACAGTCCCAGAGCTTTCAACTTTAAAAACCATAATTTGTATCCCTCTGGCAACCTTTATTAGAATGTTACACCTTAGGGCAAGGTGTGGGGATAAACAAGGTGAAGTGTACTCAGATCCTAGGTCAGTTTTAAACTGGTACTAGGTCCCATTCACACTTGTGAATGGGATGTTTGCGATTACCTGCTGGAGACCTAGCGCTAATCCATGCAATTAATTGAGAGTAGGATTCCCCATTTAAAGCAAAGGGACAACGCTTGCAGCTATTTGCAACCATTTACACATCATCGCTAATGAAGCAAATAATTGTGGCTGATCAGCCCTGGACTGTGTACGTCAGAGGTAAAAAAAAAATGCCATCTTACTTATTGATCACTAAAGTGATGAACTGTAAAAGTTTTTAATGTGTCACTTATTTACAGTTTTGGGTAGTTTTCTGCTCTTGTATTTATTAACTCTTGTAATTCATCAACAAGGCTGAATCTTTTATATTATATGAAAAACTCAGATTACTGTTTTTGTTTACAAAAATTGCATTTTAAGTAAACTATAGATATAAACAATTTACACAAACATTTTGTGGCATACAAATCAGGAACTGTTCTCTTTTTATTCTACAGGTCCTCTGCTTTCAGAAAATATACCTTTTGTGGGCACCTTTAGCAAACCTTCAAACTCCACAATGTGGATATTTAATGTGTAAAAATGGAAAATAGAGATCACACAAGTGGTGGAAATATGAGCTGATAAGGGTCCAGAATCCAGAAGGTGAAACCCGGAGTTAGACTTACTGGTAACTCTATTTCCAGGAGTCTTCCAGGACAGCCCCCTGGAGATATGGCTCCACTTCCAGGTAGGCAGGAAACACACTGCCTCCAAAATATAAGGACCAGCCTCTGGAATTGCCTTCCTGATGGCTGGATCTGAAAGATATTGTAATATAAAGCAAACACATACAGTACTTAACATATAAAAACATAGGGTGGGCAGTTGGCTGTCCTGGAAGACTCCTGGAAATAGAATTACGAGTAACTCTAACTCCAGTTTTCCCTCCAGTCAGCTTCCGGGATAGTCCCCTTGAGATTATAACCAAGAACCCACCACCCGTGGGGGGGGGCTAAATGTCTGATCTTGAGCAGCCAAGAGGTCCAAACGATAATGATGTACAAATGTAGAAAAAGAGGACCAGGTAGCCGCTTTACAGATTTACTCCGGGGTAGCGCCAACTCTTTCTGCTCATGAGGCAGAACTTGCTTTGGTGGAATGTGCAGAAAACCCTGCTGGTGGAACCTCATCCATTGACCTATATGCTTCTGGGAAAGTTTGTTTAGTCCACCGTGCTAAGGGAGGCTTAGAAGATTGATTGCCCCTCTTTTTTCCTGAATATAGAATAAAAGAACTTGTGAGGAGCGAAATTGCTCTGTCTTTTTCAAGTAAGCTAGTACACAGCATTTCACATCAAGGTCATGGAACTGATTTTAATTTTCATTAGCAGGATTTTGACAGAAGAAGGCAGAACTATATCTTGGGATCTGTGAAAAGAAGAAACTTTTGGCAGAAAACCTGGATCAGTCCTCAAGATAATGGAGTCCTCTAGGACTGTAAAAGAAGTTTCTCTCATCAAAAGAGCCTAAAGCTCAGTAATCCTGTGAGCAGTGGTAATAGCAATGTGGGACACGGTCTTAAGAGATGTTTCATGTCTGCTTCAGATAGTGGTTCAAAAGGGAGTCTGCTTAGACCCTTGAGCACAATAGATAGATCCCATCTTGGACATTCCTCAGTTTTGTCCCCTGATCTTCTCTTGGAAGGGCCTTTGCTACTGTTTAAAGCTCCCTCCAATTGGATGAATTTTTTTTTTCTTGGGGGGACCATTGTCCCTGTATCAGGCTGTTCTGTAGGTGGCCCTCCAACCCAGGCGCTGACATCTGTTGTAATTCTCAAAGAAATGGGCCTCTCCACAACCTCTCTTTAAATGTGCGTCAATTTTCCACCACCATAGGATGCTCTTTACTTTTTGAGGAATCAGAGTCAGTGAGTCCAAAGACTCCACTGTCCCATCCCAAACACATAATTTGAAGCTCTGTAATGGTCTTTGATGGAATCTGGCCCATTGGACCGCTGAGGAGGTTGCGGTCATGAAGCCTAGTACTGACACTATACTCAAAATACTGCCTGATTTGTTTAAAGTTGTGCAACCAGGGTGGAAATTCTTAGAATTGTCTATTCTGGTAGGGATACTCTTTGACTGGTAGAATATAGTATGTAACCTAAAAATGGCACTCTGTGATGGGACCAGATCTGATTTATTTAAGTTGATGAACCAACCTAATTTGATCAACCACCTTTGAATCAACAGAACATCATTAGACAATCTTCCATGTGGGTCACAACCAGGACGTTGTCTAAATAGGGAATGACCATTATCTCCTGCAGTGTCAGAGGTGCCAGGGCTTCAGCGAAGACTTTGGAAAAAAAATTATTGGGGCCGATGAAAGCCTGAATGGTAGAACTCTGCACTGGAAATGATGGATTAATGATTCCATCCTGAGAGCAATGCGCATGAATTTCTGAGACTCCTTCCTTATTGGGATGTGTAAACATGCTGGAGGTCCTGGACCTCTGTGGTCATTGGGTCTTTGTGGACGCCTCAGGAGGATTGAAAAGGATTCCTGACATTCCATTCCCTTTATGTCCTGTCCAGTGTTTTTTTGGTCTTTCCGTCACTTCTGTCTGCTGCTACCCCTGACCATGAAAAAAGTTATTTTTAAACCCTTTTATCTTCTTTTCAGGGAAAGCTTTCTTCCTATTATCTGTACGCACCAAGGTATCTTGCATCCCAGTGCCAAACAGCAGATCCCCAGTAAATGACAGGTTGCAGAAATATCAAATGGAAGACACATCATCAGACCATGTTTTTAACCAAAGTGCTCTGTGTGATGAATTATTTAAAGCTGAGGTCTGTACAGCAATTCTAAACTTCT